GCTTTAGGTCATCTTCTGATCTTCTACTCATAATTCATCTACAAGAGAACATGCAATTTCTGTAATGCTCTTTTTTTTGTGCAATGTTGATCTGTGGTGAACTCGTGGGCCTCATAGCAAGAGGAACCACCTAGGAATAGAGAATATAATTTACATGTATTCCTTCTGACCAGACTTGACTTTGGGGTTTGACCACAATCCACACATTCTTCTAAGTAGGTTTTCATTCCTGACCAACAGCAGAGGAACGTAAGTTTATATATATATTTTTTCAGCTGAACATGCAGTGAGTTAGAACTACGCTAGTTTTAGGACATTGAAAAAGTTCTCTGTTGCTTCACTAACGTCCCTTAGCCTCTTCTTTCCATTTTCCAGGGCTGTGTTTTTGTTCCTTGATAGCACACATCTCCAGAGGGAGGAATTGCTCTGAGGATGCCGGCTGTTGCCTGGTTTAATCAGCAGCCGATTGCCACTAATAGCGCATTAATACCTGGGGCCCCTGGACGACTTGATTTTCAACTCGATGTGTTCTTCTCTCAGACCATGAACAAGACTTCACGCGCCCTGCAATCAGCTGGGCCCCCACACTGGGTGAGCACACTGAACACACCTTCTGGGCTTCTGATGGCTCTCTGGGGAGACCAGGAACACACACCTGGTTCCCAGGTGAGTTTGTGGTTGCTAAGCTGCCTTTCGTGAAAACTTCAATGTCTCGTGTTATTATTTCTCTTCGCCCTGAAAAGCAAACGCTCACCATTTCCCCAAAGCTTCACCTTTGCCCAGAAGGATGTGGCTGGTAATTTGTGAGATCCTAGTCCACATTAGATCGGCTCAAGAAGGAGACCCTGCGCCATTCCAGACAAGTGACCCTCCAGTCTCTTCTTGGAAACACCTCCAGGGATGGAGCACCCACCACTTCTAGTGGCAAGCTGTTCCAATGGTTCATTCTTCTCAATGTTAAGAAATTTCTCCTTATTTCTAGGTTGCTTCTCTCCTTAGTCAGTTTTCATCCATTGCTTCTTGTCCTGCCATCAGGTGCTTTGGAAAATAGCTTGACTCCCTCTCTTCTTTGTAGGAGCTCTTCAAATTTTGGAATATTGCTATCCTGCCCCTCCCCACAGTCCTTCCTTTCTCTAGACTCAATGGAGATTATTCCAGAAAGAATCTTAAAAACCTCATTAGGCTCCTTACTGTTTATGGAATCGTAGCAGAGAACTTTAAATGAAACATTAATACTAGTCAGCTCGGATATTTTATTTTATTTTTAATTCCCAAAGATGAAAAAAAAATCCAACGCCATTGGCCAGCTCCCTGAAAAACAACAAGCATTTTAACTTGGGAACAACGCTGAGACTTTTCTCCTAAATTATGACCAGGCTGGGCAAGGAAAATCCCCAGCAAAATTGTGAAGCCTCATTAGCCACAATCGCTTTTTGCTCCGCTAAAATATTAGCAATACGTAACTACATAAAAAGAAATTACATTTCTGCGCTGGTAGAAAAACCACACTGGGCAACTAATTGTAAATTTATATTCTTTTACTTAAAATATCAAGGTGGTTATGAGTAAAATGAAACCACAGAACAGCAGGAAGCAAACACTCCTCTAACGGGCAGCCCCATAAAAACAATAAAATTTATAACCGAGAAACAATTAATAAAAGAAGAAATGGGTCAAAATCCTGAAGAGAAGTCTGAGAAACAGGACCTATAAGGAAGAAAAGTTGTATGGCTCCAGACGCTCATAAATAGGTCAGCAATAGAAATAACAATTAGACGCTGCTTCACAGTGCTTCACAGCCCCCTCTAAGCAGTTTACAGAGTCAGCTTCTTGCTGCAATCTGGGGCCTCATTTTACGGACTTCGGAAGGATGGAAGGCTGAGTCAAGCTTGACCTGGTCAGGATCGAACTGCTGGCAGTCAGCAGAATTAGCCTGCAATACTGCATCCTGACCACTGAGCCACCAGGGCTCTTTAGGTTAAGAGTTACCAGTGGTGGGATTCTACCAGTTTCCCTATTGGTTCGGTGATTGTGCACTTCACGCGTGTGCGCGCACAACTTTCCAGACACCAGGTGAGGCTCTGCTGCGCCAAACAGCTGAGAGAGGAGGAAGAAGAGAAGGGGCGGGGCAGAGCTGGGAGGGCCAAATCCTGCCCTTTTATCTTCCTTCTCCTCTCAGCTGATTGTCAGGGGATTTTTTTTTTAACTACTCCTTGGGCCCAACCAGTAGCGATTTTTGCTACCGGTTCAGGTGAACCAGGCTGAACCGGTAGCATTTCACCCCTGAGAGTTACCATGCTTAGGGGGCCACCCCTGAGAAGATCCACCCTCTGCCAACCTGTGCTATTAAATAAATAGTTCATGTGAGGATTAAGCAAGTTTTCAGCTAGGGGTCCGAAGGGCTCCTTTTGAGGCCGGGCCTTGTCAGCTTCAGGGCATCAGCCAGATAGGAATCACAACCAGGTGAGCTAATGCGACTTCCTTGTGGAGCCACCTTGACACGACCCTCACAAGTCTATAAGTGTATTTGTACAAGTACAACCCTCCCACTGTCTCTTTTATAGCCTGAGAAACTACACGAAGGTGGCCCATAAGGGGAAGCATTCAGGGTGGGTGAGCTCTGGAAGAGATTTGCCACCACGTTATGATCATTTAAAAAGTTTTTAATTTAAAAAGCTCCGTTCTTTTTTTCTGATGGATTAGGAACCTTCATGTTTGAATCAGAGAAAGACCTACTGCATTCTTTTCCTTTGACCGGGTCAGGCAAGCCAGAACATTCGGCGCCCGGATTCGGGATGGCCACCCTCCATCTGGACTCGCTGCTGTCACACTCGGTGTACTCGAAGTGGTAGTCGGTCTGCAGGACATTTAGGGAACAAAAGAACGATGTTTGTCCATTTGTCTGAAATCGGGTTTCCTGCCTGAGCAGAGGGTTGGACTAGAAGACCTCCAAGGTCCCTTCTGGCTCTATATTCTAACTCTTTTTTCCCCTTAGATAAACATTTTGTTTGGGTCAGATTAAAGTTGTGAGATTCAGCCACGACATGACCTGGTTAAGAGGTTCCCGAGGGATGGCCAAGGATTGGGCCCACCTGTTCAACCGCTGTGGTTTCTGCCACAACACAATCGAACGTGCTTTTGACAAGTCAACACTAACTAACCCTTGTTGTTCTAGAGACAGCAGCTCCGGTTTAGGTCTTGGTCAGGGGATGGAGAAAAGAAGAAGAGGGTTCAAAGAGGAGGAGGCAGAAGAAACGTAGTTGACTTGCCATTCTTTTCACAGGTATCTCAAAGACACAACGCAAGTCTGGGTTGCAACTGACTTTATCTACAGCCGGCAGTAAGATTGAGGTTTTAGGTCAGAGTCAGAAGGTGACTATCGCTATTAAAAATCCACCTACTGCTTAGCCCTTTTTATATCATCACCTCTGTGTGTGTGTGTGAGAGAGAGAGAGAGAGAGAGAGACAGAGAGAGAGAGAATGGGAGGGAGGGAGGGAGAGAAGCAGACAGACAAACAGAGAGAGGGAGGGAGGGAAAGAAAGAATAAATGTGTGTTCTATCTAACTGTCTGCCTGTCTATCTATCTGTTTATCATCTCTCTTTCATCTCTATTTCCCTCTCTCTCTATTATCTGCCTACATCTGTCTGTCTGTCTGTCTGTCTGTCTGTCTATCTTCAATATCTATATTTATCATCTCCATCCATTCATCCATCCATCTGATATTTTCCAAGTATTCCAGAGAGCCTGCTGTAATCAATTTTGCAAGGGTCAGCTCCAAAGGTTAATACCATAATAACATAGCAAAGAAAGCAGTGTGTGTGTGTGTGTGTGTGTGTGTGTGTGTGTGTGTGTGTGTGTGCAATTGTTTCCCCCTGCACTTTCCTTTGACCTTTCCCTCCATCTTCCCTGAGAGAGAAAAGCCAGCTGTTTTCCAACAAACAGACCCTGTTAAAAATGGCTTTTTGTTTTTTTTTAAAGACTCCTCCAGCCAGAAGGGACAGAAACATGGAGCAGGGTTGATATGCTCATTGCATTTTCCAAACTGGCCGGGGTGCTGGGAACCATTTTAGAACCAGCTTTGGACCTGTTTCTGTCTCTTTAATGTTGACGCTGCCCAACCGATGCACAGCTGGCTTATCTATCGTTGGTCTGAGCCCAGTCCAAAGGGGGTCTGTTTATCAAAAGGGAGACTAGGCTGCCGAGTTTGTGAGGGATGCGTTTCCTCACTAGCAGGAATTGTAGCTTTCCACCCAAACATACGAGACCCCCTCTGTCTTTCCTGCCTTCCCCCAAGGAGGCCTAGACACAGTCACCCTTTTTTTAGACTTTCAGGACACCAGGAAGATGCTCTCAAGTCAGGCTGATGGTCCTGAGCAAGGCTGCGGGATGGAAACAGTGGCAGGTGCGGAATTATTCAGGGAAGGAGAATGCCCGCTACTTGTTGGCTTGGAATAATTGCCTAGGTGAGTTATATTCAACATAATCCTTGCGCATGACGCTCGGGGGGTGGTGGTGGCTGATTCATTTAGTCTTCATCCATCAACTGCTCAGTGCCAGCGGCTTCAATGCAAATCACTCTCTAATTGCCTTGATTCAGTTTGCGCCCTGTGGTTCCCATCTGTTTTGTCTGCCAGATGCAATGGGGACTTTACTCACCCTCCTTCCCTCGTCTCTATTTCACCTCGTTTACTGGTGGAAAGCAGAGTTGTCCACAGTGGGGAGGGGAGGCCTTTAAAAGGCCATCAAGAGGGCAGCCATAACAATGCAATCAGAGCTGCCATCTTGATTTGCCTGACCTCTTTGCCCCTTGATGGAAAACCCTCTTTCAAAGGCAGGGGGTCACTTCATGGACCCATTCATATAACGTATCTCTCTTGTGGAAGACACAGTTTATCTGTAGGAAAAGAAGAGGCAGAGCCTGGAGGCGGCGTCAAGAGGGGACTCAGCCTAGAATAGTTGCATGGTCACAAATGGTCTAAGTCCAAATGGCTGGCCCGGGAATTCTGGGAGTTGAAGTCCCACGCATCTTAAAGTTGCCAAGGTTTGCAAACCCTGCAATAAATTGCATTATACTGTTATTGTTATTCTTATTAGATCCCACTTTTTACATTATAGAGCCCAGAATATCACACAGAAATTGATGTACACTCAGCCAGGCTTCTGAATGCATCTCCCCTTGAAAGCCATGCAGTGCAGAGCACTGATTTCTAAAATCGGGAAGGTGTTCACGAGCAGCCAAGGAGGAGAGACAGAACCTGACAAAACTGAAGGCAGAAGTGCCTCTCGCTCTCCTTTAACCCCGACACAATTTTCACACCCAAACCTAAATCAAGTGGGCCTTCATGACAGCCCTAATAATCCCCTCCAGCAGCCGAAGGACAGGATTCATTAGCACAGTACAATAACGCTACATTTTAAGAAGCACCCATTAGTCGTGTGTCCATCCTTCTAGGTGTGATGCCAAGGCTGTGGTTCTCCTTGACTGTCAAAAGGGAATGTTGTGTGCTTCTCATTCAAGTCTGGAGGTTTTTGACACCACAAGTAATATGAATAACCAGTAGGAGTAATTCTTGAAGGCTGGATCTATCACCGATGTACACTTGTATGAAAGATCCGAGGTCTTCAGAAGGATCGAACTGCCCATGTCAACCCATACTACTAAGTGCTCCATTACCCAAGTTAACAACGCAACCTACACATAAGAGAAGCTATGTAAGAACGTTCTTTAGAGGAGCACAAACCCACTAGACAGCAACCCTGAATACCAGAAAAAAGAATGAGAATGGCTACGCAACATTTTCCAACAAAGTGGATACACACACACACACAACTTTACCAAAGCGTGCCTGGACACTCAACCCACTGCAGCGCACTCAACACAAGTTATGAAAAGGATCACACTGCCCGACATCAAAGCCATCTCCAAAATAGCCCACAGACAACCACACGGCATCACTGTAGCACATAAACCAACTAAAGCCTGCCAAAACACCCTAAGTAAACCAAAAGACTTAGTAACCCAAGAAGAAAAATACAGAGTCATTTACAACACAGAGAATAAAGGTACAGATAGCGCAAGGATTATGTAAATATTATTTTATCACCAGCTTCTGTCTGCACCTCTTTCACCAAACTGATTCAAGGTGGGGCTGTTTACAGTGGTGGGGTGGCAGGGTAGCTCAGTGGTTAAGACGCTGAGCTCATCATCTGGAAAGCTGGCAGCTCAGGTTCAAGACCTGAACACTACAGGATGGGGTGAGCTCCCCTTCTCCCCACTGCAGCTGCCCACCTAGCCATTCAAAAGCATGCAAATGTGAGTAGATAAATAGGTACCACTGGCGGGAAGGCAAGGGTGCTCTGTGACCATGGGAATACCTTCGGACAAAACTGACGCAAAGGCCTTGAAACGGAGATGAGCAGCGTCCCGTAGAGTCAGCAACAGCTAGCAGAGTAAAATCTTCCTTTACCTTTTACTCCTATTTAGAAGGGCATTTTTCTCACACCTTTAAGGCTAAACTGTATCTTGGTTTGCTTTCATGGTTCCTATCCGGCTTCCTCAAGGTCTCCTGCATTCCTCTAGACCATCAAACTGGGTTCCTCGGGCTATGTTACACCCTGTTTCCTACCTAGATGAATATATTTTTTAAAAGTTGCTTTGTGAAATTCCATTCTGGAATAAAAGAATAGCACTGAATCTATTTTCAGGTTGCTTTGTTCTGTTGTTTTGATGAATGAATGAATGAATGAATGAATGAATGAATGAATGAATGTACAACAGGCACATCTACCTGTAGGAAAACAAGATTACAGCATAGAGAAAGATCCATAGTTGGCTGCACCTCCCACGTGTCTGGAATTATGAGAAGGTGAGGAGGTGTGATGACCCAGGTATGACACAAAGGCAACCCAATCAGATAATCAGTAGGAGTCCCTTTATTAGCTCCGACTTTGCCCCCAATGTCCTGGTTACCTTCTGAGCTGGAGAAAAACTCTCCCAGGAACAGCCTTGGGCTGCAGAGAATCAAGTCCAAAACGTGGTCAACAAAAACTGCAACTATAAGTCCAATCAAGGCAAAATGAAGCCTTTAGTCTGGCAGGGCAGGAGCAGGAATTCCAGACGTGAAGGAACAGCAGTAATTCAACACAGTTGGGAAGATGCCAGGAACACAGATAACCACAGTCAACACAAGATAAATTCACATTTGTTCCCAGCAGACGCAGCACTCAGCTTGCAACTCTTTTAAACTCTCTTTCCAGCTGCAGCTAATGAAGGGAATCAGGGCCCTTTCCTCCCCCATAAGCCATGCAACCCACATTGCTCCCTTCTCTGTTCTTCCCTGCGTGCCCTAGGATGAAGAGGGAGGTGGGCCTGGGTCTTCCTCTGAATTCCCTCTCCCTTGCTCTACCTCTCCCCTGCTTTGCCCAGCTGGACTTTGCCCTTCCCCAGTTTCCTCCACAGCCAACGGAGCCACACTCCCCCTCCCTGTCAGCTGTTCCTCTTCCTCCTCGGATTTAGACTCTGACAGGGCATTACAGGAGCCATGCAAAAGAAGCGTTGTTCTTTCACATGACTCACTAATGATGATTCTGTGTTTACAGAGACGCGATGCAGCCTCCGGGCCATCTGTGCAGAGGGCTAGACGCCTGAATCCTGGCTTAGACGTTTCTTCTTCTACACTCTGAACAATTGGTGGATCTCTCCCACAAACATGTCACCAACCTCCACAAAGTGAACAGAAGGTCTTGCAGACAGAAAACGACCAGAATTTGACTGCATATGCGGCAAACCTCAATCCAGGTTTCACGGTGATAGTAGATGACAAGCTTGGGTAACCAAAACCAACCCCAAATGGGT